GTCAAAACACTCCTCCTACGTGTATTTGCATAGTAGTGACAATAAGAGGAGGAGATGTTTGAAGAGCAAGGCAGAATGTTTTCTGGTGACAATCGAGTTTGCTGTCCAAGTTGGTGGAAAAGGAGGAGGAAGAGACGGATCAGATCAGCGATAGCGGTGATACTCGATGCTACCTACAGGTACTAGTAGGAATGTACCAAGTAGATAGATGCGTGCCTAGTAATAACAAGGAGGCTGGGAACACCTACTGTCTCTCTGCCTACATAAACTTGTAGGTGGTTAGCTACCGGTATAGGCCTTCTAGGCGTTATCGTTCCCCTCTCTGAACGCCTAACCTGTACGAGGTACCTAACTACGACCCCTCATCGGACCCACCCTCTCCGTCACCATCCGATCTGCCGCCCATGCCATGTCCACTGACATTGCTAGGCATGGCACCCACCATCCACCACCCACCGCACAACTTGAAGTCGCGATAATTTGATTTCAACCTGTCCTTTCCCGTTATCAGCACGTGATGGCAATTTCTCCCACCCTATGCGACCCAAATTCCCCAGAGGCGAGCCGCCCCAAAGAGGCCTCAGATAAACAATGGCACAACCCTCTTTGACTGAGCAACCTATGCAGACTTCCAAGGTCGACTCAATACCCCACCATGATGCAGGTGAGTACTTGTCCCTTCTGATGCACGCCGACTCAACCTGACCGTCCCGCAGATCAACCCAGCACCCCTGTAACCTCTCGCTCTCCGCTAGCATCTGCAGATGTTGACGATAACCCGCGGAGTCCCAAACGGCGACGACTTTCCACAGATGAGCAGCAGCGGATAATCAAGAGTGAGGCTGAGGGGGAAGTCGCTGGAGGACAGCCGGAGCCAGCAGTCGCAACATCTACATCAACACGCGAAGGTCAAGATGGAGAACCAGAAGCAAACCTTTCTCAGCCACGGCGCGCTTCCACAGAAACGGTTCAGCAGGTTGTTGGGTCTATCGTCAAAACAGAAGGCCCCGATGTACAGGTCGGGGCCGGAACACCCGCGACGGCAACCGGAGCCCAAGATGGAAGCGTTGCGACAAGACCTTCACATCAGCAGTCCCCAGCTCCTAACGCCCGGCTGGATAACTTACCCTTCCTCGACAAGCAGTCGTCACAGCTTTTGACCTTCCTATCCCGGTTGACACCGACCGAAGCCATGGGCCTGTCAAGTGCGCCCAATGCCCCAAGCACCAAAGAGTATGCCGCATTGCGCGCCGCGTTTGATCGAACCAGGAGGTTGCTCAGCCCAGGATGGCCCTTTCTGTCGCCACATGACTTGGGGCTACGCAACGGCAATCAGCTTGAAATCATCCGCAAGGCCAACCAGGCAATCTTCATGTCCAGCATTTTCACCGGAGAGATAGGTCTTCGGGACATGGATAGGAGTTTTCTTGCCGTCTTCGTCCCCGAGAATGGCAAATTACTAAAAGCGCAGGCTTCGATGTACCTCGAACTGAAAACCCAGGGCTTCATTACTGCCTGGAGAACAGGTGCTGCTCCACCCAATGTTGTTATGGCAGACCTCTTCGGACCTGACCTGGACAAGGCTCTCTTGGCAAGAAGGCCTGGCACCACGGGTCTGGCCCCCACGGAGCAGGAGTTCCTCATCCGGCTCGCGTCCCGTCGGGATATTCTGCAAAGCCACGTGAAGAACAACACGCTTGATCAGCTCCCCTTGAAGTACAGGTGGGAGGACTTTAGTCGAGAAGTCTCCTCCTATCTGATCAAACATATTGAAAACTCCTCCAATCCTGGTGACGGTGTCTCGAACGAAGGCAATGACCCCACTAGGAGTCTTCATCGGGGCCAGATGGAAGGCCAGTTCTCTATTCACGGCCCGCCACTCCCAGTTTCATCGACTGACTCCATCCTCTCCTCAAAGTCTTTGGTGAAGCATGCTTTCGAGCCCTCGGATGACGGCGACTTTGTTGCACAGGCGGCGAGGGCGGCAGAGATTGCCCTTCGAAGTACGCTGGGCCTAGCATACTCGGACAAGATACCAGAAGGACCAGCGCCGACAACCCCCACGATACAGCAAGACACTTCTACACCCCGTCCACCATCGGCACCACTTTCCGAAACCCGTGACCTTAACTTGAACACAGCCTCGTCTCCATCACCTGCAGTCGATCTAAAGTCCATGACGGAGGAGATCCCACATGCCTCTCAGACTGCTCCCACGTCAGTTCTCTACGAGAGAGCCCGGTTGGCCGCCACAAAGGCATCACTTGCTCTTGAAAAGAAGCCATTGGTGCCTAGCCAGAGGCGTCCATGGACCACGGAAGAAGAGAATGCGCTCATGACCGGGCTAGACCAGGTGAAAGGCCCCCACTGGAGTCAAATTCTAGCCATGTATGGACCTGGAGGCACCATTAGTGAGGCATTGAAAGACCGGAACCAAGTCCAGCTCAAGGATAAGGCGCGGAATCTCAAGCTGTTTTTCCTGAAAAGTGGCATTGAGGTGCCCTATTATCTCAAATACGTGACCGGCGATCTGAAAACGCGTGCTCCTGCCCAAGCACTCCGGCAAGAGGCCAGGGAACGCGACAGGCTACTGGCCGAGGGGGATGACGCTGCATTAGATGAATTGGTAGGCGATGTTGAGGGCGAAGAACAACTCGGGGAAGACATATTTGACTCTATGTCCAATCAGGAGTCGCCTCTCACCAATGGAGCCGGACAAGGAGCTCCCCCCGACGAATCTAAGAAGCCTTTTGAACCGAGCATGGCAGATGTTGAGGCCCTCATAGCGAAAGCAAGCGCAAGCGCACAGACGTCGCAGTCTGTCGAGTCGACCTAGTCATGACACTAAAGAGGAAAGGTAAAGTTCCCTCTTCTAGAAAAGTAACACGATCCTTTGGAAGTTGCCAAGCCTTCATCGAACGATTCCCAACATTGAGTAGCAAGATAGCGTAGTGTGATTGGCTGACACAATGCCTTCTCATGGAGGCGAAAACGCCCTTCACTCTGGCCAAAGGATTTGCTTCAACGGACCCAAGGAGATATCTTGGAGACGGATGAGGTTAAATCCGGTGACATGGACAATATATGAGTATCTATTTAACTCAATGTATTGTGTACCCGGTATCTCTGACTGTGAATACGCTGGCAGGAGGACATTGATATCCCGCTGTCCGTCCTCTGGTTGGGATTTGTCGCAAGGCTGAAGCGCTAGCAAGGCACAAGGCAAAACCTCGGGTAAATTGTGGCCGATAACTCTTTTCGGTTCTCGCATCGGGAATCTCCACTTCTACGTACGAGGGCAGAACTGCAGACTGCGAGTCTGGGCCTTCATCGTGCATAGAAGTGAACACCAACAACCTCAACATCACGAACTCGTGTTTCGTGTTCCGACTCTTTTTACCAAAAACATCATACCGTCCACACCTACGTCACACCAGTTCTTTCATTATTTTGAATCTCAGATGATAATACAGCCATGTCATCTCCAGGCGAAGCAACTGCAGGCGACACCGCCCCGCGAGATGTCGATGTCGATGCCGATGCCGAAATGGAAGATGCCACCACCACCGCCGCCCAAGATGCACCAGCACGGCAGGAGGAGGATGGCGACCGTGACATGACGACACAGACGGACACACAGCAACCGAATGCGACGGCGACGACAGCGTCGAGTCTACCGCATCAAAATCGCAAGGATGTGACGTTGCGAGAGTTTTTGAGCAAAATGGATGATTATGCGCCGATTGTATGTTCCATATCTATCCCTCTCCCACACCCTTCCCTGGCCTATCTTCGCCATGCTAACCTCTGCTTTCCGTCTCTCATCTAGATCCCTGACGCGGTAACAGCTCATTATCTCACACTCTCGGGACTGCCACCCCCCTCACCATCCGACCCAACGGGAGCCAGCACGAACACGACGCCTCTCCCGCTCGCTCGTCTCCTCGCTCTCGCAACACAGAAATTTGTCGCCGATATCGCCGCCGACGCCTACCAATACTCGCGGATCCGCAGTTCGAATAATGCCGTAAGCGGACCCGGTATGGCTGGTATGGGCGGGGGCGGAGGCGGAGCGTCTTCGTTCGCGGGCGGTGCGACCGGCGGATCTGGAGGGGGAGGCGCCGGTGCAGGTGGCGCAGGGGCAAAGAACCAGCAGAATACATCTCTGGGGGTGCAGAGGAGCGGGTACGGCGGTGGAGGACAAGGTGGGAGCGCCCAGGGCAAGACCGTCTTGACCATGGAAGATTTGGGCATGGCAGTACAGGAATATGGCATCAATGTCAAAAGGGGGGAGTTCTACAGATGAGTCAGCAGCGTTACAAAAGGCTCGCATTTGGGAATGGGGGCTTCTTATTTTTATTTTTATTTTGTTTCATAGGTGGTTTGTGGCGCGCATAGCGAACATGGGGAGTGAAAACTCTAGGGACTGGATGGGACGGGCAAAGTCCATGAATACCGGCAGACAAATGGTTGAATCGATTTGCACAACCATTGGATATCACTTGAACATCTCGTCATGGCGCACAGATATTGAGCACGCAATGACCGACTGAGCAAGATCACAGCTGTCAATGAATCAAAGTATACGCTTCCCACCGAGTTTCTCCATCGCAAATGATTCAATCGACCCTCTTCGAGGTAGGTTCTGTGTGAGCCTAGCATCTTCTCCGTTTGGCCTCCACTAGCTTGAGGAGAACGCCTAAGAAGATGTCTCGGGGCTGTGATTATGCTGTAGTCGTTGCCCTTGTAGGCTTGACGCAGGGGAAAATTCCTCAAACTTCGCGCGCTCTCGCAGAATTTCCCTCCTTGCTATCATTCCCTGCTGTCCGTTCGAGTTGTTCACTTGTTCTTGCTCATCTTATACGTGAATCGTTTTCTTGTACTACGTTCCAGTTAGTCCATCATCCTCGACCATTCTCTCTTCCTCGCAGGATCTCTCGGCTCTGCCTTCGTTTGAGGTCGAGAGAGGACCATTCTTGGATAGGGTGCCAGGGTGCGACTTACGGCACGAATTCGCCCAGTTTCCGGCCAACCATCTCTTCAGTGATGTACACGTCCTGATATATCTTTCCATTGTGCACCGCAAACTTCAGGCCGACAAAATTGGGTAGGATGGTGGCGGACCGCGCCTGGGTTTTTATCGTCGTGGGCGTTTTGCCATGGACGACTGTAGGAAGCTCGGGGAAGACGAGGTTCGGTCCTGTGCATATGATTGACAAGATGTAAGCGCCTGAGCTTAGGTTATAGGGATCACACGCTGTGTTGGCAGGGTAGTAGCAACCCCAACAGTGCCTACATGCGTCGTTGATGGGTGGCTTTTTATCCACGTACCTTTCCAAACGGACCGCTTCAAGAGCTGAAATGTGGCGCGCATCGTTTACCGCAGGAGCACGGCCATACAGTACAGTCTGGAATTGTGGCCGACAAACCCCGAGAAAACAATAGTGAGTGGTCGTGGAGAAGAAAGTTATGTGCAAGGCAATTTACAAGTATATTGCGAGCAAAGACCAATGGACAAAGTCAGTCGACTACTAATTACTTGGTCCGATCGAGGCTTGTGGCCGTTGGCTCCCTTTCCCGACAGAGCTTGCTCGCAACAATTTAATCCCCATAAAAAATCTCTCCACATCTGCTGCATCCTAATCTGGATCTCGGACTCGCGATTCGAATTCAGTCGGGGCCCTTCTCGGTCAGGAGTTAATTTTGCGACCTCTGGGGGTAGTCCTGATTTCCTCCCTTTTCGGCCTCGCCTTTCTCTTCAAAGTAGGACATTGTCATGACCGTGCCATAGCGATACGTTTCCTCCTCCTCTTTCTACCCACGGAACCAAGGTTCCGCAGCATAGTCTCCTTTAAACACACCCTCCTCACCTCCGCCAGAGCCCGCGAACATATACTCGGAGTCGACCCGCGAACCGGGGCCTTTTAATACAAGACATATTTCATCATGGCGCAAAGCGCAGTGGGATCGTATTCAAACCCACTCAAAAAATTCAAGTATGACGCGCATATCTCTGCAGATACTGTGGGTGGCACTGGGGGCTGACAAGCTGTCTACAGGCTTGTATTCTTGGGGGAACAGAGTGGTATGTGCTGATAACTCCCGGCCATGGACTGTCCTGCTCTGCTCACACAGAATGGTATGAATCAGTTGGCAAGACCTCCCTAATAACCCGGTTCATGTACGACTCCTTCGACACCACCTACCAGGCAACCATCGGCATCGACTTTCTCTCCAAAACCATGTACCTCGAAGATCGCACCGTCCGCCTCCAGCTGTGGGACACAGCCGGGCAAGAACGCTTCCGGTCCCTCATCCCCTCGTACATTCGTGACTCGTCCGTCGCTGTCGTGGTCTACGATATCTCCTCTCGCAAAACCTTTGAGCAAACACGCAAGTGGATCGATGATGTAAGAGGGGAGCGAGGAAACGATGTGATTGTGGTCCTTGTCGGCAACAAGACAGATCTGGGCGACTCGAAGAGGGAGGTCACCACGCAACAAGGAGAAGAGGAGGCCAAGAGAGCTGGCGCCATTTTCATGGAGACCAGCGCAAAGCTGGGCCACAATGTCAAGGCGCTTTTTAGGAGAATAGCGCAGGCCTTGCCAGGTATGGAAGGCGAAGGGGAGCAGCAGCCAAATCCCCAAAGTAAGTACAGATTCAAATTTTGTTCACTTGGCCGACAGGTACTGACGACGGCGCGCTTGTCACAGTGATTGATGTGTCAATAAGCAACCAGAAACCAGCCGAGGAAGGCTGCGCTTGTTGATCGCCGAGTGGAGTTTCGAGTTCCAGTGCAAGCTACAACTCAGACCGGCTGGCTTCGTGGGCTGCTCCAATGTTGGATTTTGATGCGAGTGAGCCCATGCAGAGACCACGGTTCGGGAGCAAGACGTGTCGTAACGTTTCTTGGAAGCTGAGAGAGCAAACGATAAGAGTGACGGGTGGACATTGCATGGAAGGCATGCTGTCCTGTATATGTGGCCGTTGTCTATAGTTCGATCCCGCGCCATGGATGGGGGAGTCGAAAGATCCATGGACGATGTTCGTATCGAACTGCGAGTGTGTGACAGATATGGAAATGAGGGCTTTTTAGCATAGCATGGCGTTTTGGCTGTTTTTACTCCCTCGCATGAGCAGGATTGGCAGAGCCCAGAGGTTGTGCTTGCCTACTTGCTTGTTCATTGGTACGGGAGAGAAGATGATACTGTGTAAAAAGGACAAGAGGACAAACCGTCCGTTCGGTCATTAATTGTCAATCAAGCCACCATCAAAACACCCCACTGTTTTCGTATAGTGCCAGTACCGGGGCACCCTCGCACTGACCACGATGCCATCTCTTCCCATCCGCCCACCCAACTCCCAACTCACCTACCAATCATGTTTCCCGTATTTCTTCCTCTTCACAAGCGGGCTATGGTCCGTCCAGTCACCTGCCGGGAGGGGATGAGATTGTGTTACCACACGTCGCAGCAAACGAGATTCTACACGTATGTATAGTATATCTAGAAAACAATATCTGGGCGCAGAGACGGAATTTGTCTCAGACCGAAAAGGTTGAATCTTCGTCTTTCTGCCCGTTTGGTTTGGTCTGTCGAGGAGGTATGGGTCCCCCATTTACACCCATACATGAGTCTGCAAGCATGGGGAGAACGACATCACTTGTAGGTGCACACTGAGGAAAGTCTAGCTGCACCCGAGTGACCTTTAAGGTGCTGCACAGAGTATATATGGATAGATTGTAGCCACTGCATACATACACCGTTTCCCACCACGCGCGGAATTGTCGTCTTTACTTCTCAATTCTCTGATCTCCTAGTTCTGTCTCGGACCATTCGTGAACAATGCAATCCGACGCTGCGAAAGAGGTGTGATATTATGCCAACGCGCAGTCATGACTGCAGAATACTCTCTCAGCTGTGGTGATCGCAGATTACGAGGCTGTGGGCGCCACGGGGCTGACGTACCGACTCGCCGAGTACCGGGCACGAAACGCGAGGGAACCTCGCGACATCAACTGCAGAAGACTAACCGCATATGGCAGGTATACCTCGTAACCTGCACATCTTCAAGTTAGTAAGGCATAAGTCAACGGCGGTTGGAGGATTAGCTGGTTGCACACTGCTAGTACGCAGATATTGGGAAGTATGTAAATAGTAATCAGCAGCCCACGTGTTGGTTGCTAATTAATCCAGAAACCCTTGAGACCTCTGAGGAATTGCTCACCCCCCTTATCAGACTCCGCTGGGCTTCTACCCCTGTACCGGCGAAGCCCTGAACGTCCCGTTCGATAGTGAGAGACCACACCAGAAAAGCCAAGAGAATACGTCTTCTCTAGGTCATGATGCTGTGTTGCAGTAGTTTGCCCCTTGCCCAGACAGGCACAACTGGCCCCTCAAGCATACATCAAGTCCAATTTTTGGGCTATGGTCATTGCGTGCGTGACGAGCCTAGCCTGGGCCACCGCGACCACCTTTTCTGTATAGGGACAATATACTCGGTACCAATGCGGTTCCTGTCAAAACAACGCTATTACCAAGCAACCGTACTCTTGAGAGGATCTGTTTGAGTCTAAGGTAACCACGATCTCGTCGTCATATCGACGCCAAAGGATGTAAATGATAGGACAAAATAACGAACGCAGGCTACGGTGTCGAGCAATAGGAGAACTTGTTTGGTCAGACGTACCTTGATGTTTCCCCAACTCGCCTTAACAGCGTATTGACTCGTGAAGACTTGTGTGAAGAGTGCGAATAGGAGGACGGTCCGATACTCTACACGCATGTGTATACCTATTCATCGCCTTCCCTGATCTTGTGCATGTATTCAGAACTTTCCCTGGCCGTTCTCTGCTCGTTCATCACAATTCCCAAGAGCTAGCAAACCGAGTCCGAAAGGCTAGATAGCTGTATCGAGAAGTCAACGACGTTCCTCCGATTATCAGATCGGAGATTGGGCAATGCATCGGGTTTTGCTCCTCGTACGATAGGTCAATAATTGCTGTTTCCCCTCAAAATACAGGGTGCAAAGGCGCAGGTGGTTGACATCACCACAGACATAACGAGAGAGAAGAGGGTCGCATTGCTATGATTGAGGATAAGCATTCATGCACGAGGTCGATCTGTACTCTTCTGTATCACGGCGTCCGCATACTTGTAGAAATAGCAGTAAACCGTAATGCATGTGCATACTCCGTAATATGTCATTCAGTCATGTCTAAAATTGAAATTGATGACTCGCACTGAACTTTTGGTGCGTTAGCTTCGCAAGAAAGGTCCGTCAAAATTGGGTCCGGGAAGAACAAGTTCCAGGTGCCCGAGCCCGGTCTTAGGCGATCAAATTTCGGGCCCCCAAGTTTTCTCTATGACGATTCGTTCGGGGAGGACGATACTGCTCCAGGGGCTAATTATCGAGGGTGTCACCCCCGGAAGCCCTAAAGACCTGGGCGATTGCCCTCAATGAGCAACTCCCATGCTCAAGGTTCGGCCCCTAGCCTTGTCGGGTAAGTACATGACACGTGCCTCGAAAATCGACAGGAATCTCGACATGAAATTCCCTCACGCACCCGAAAATCGCCATCAGCTTCGCCTGCTTCACGGCTCCATCTCCCATTTCTCTGCATCTTTGGTTGGCGAAGGGGAGCTCCTGAAGCTCCTAACTCTCCCCGTAAGCGACAGCAACTAACTGGATTCGTCTCTCATCCACCTGACTCAATTTGGGGCCAGCCTGGCGATTGCTTCCATCCCGCTCCGCCAGGCACGAGTTTTACGAGTACGAATTGAGGTCTGCCTGAGCGACCTGGATATTTCTACCATTTCATACAACATCCTGCTTCCTCCCCTACCACTCTACGATTGACACGCGACCATCATTAGATACTCCACTCCGAGTGTCTTGTCATTCTCTTCCATCATTCCACCTCTTCGGTACAGCGCGTTCATTGACGACTTTCGAGTCGTCTAATGAACCTGCCTAGTTCGCCTTCATTCCTATTCCAGACGTTGCTCTTCGATAGGAAGAGAATCTCTTTCTCCTAAATGCCTTTCAAGCCCTTCGCACATCTCGCCCGTGTCAGTGTTGCAAAGGGAATCGCCCATACTTATGCTCCGTCCGTAGTCGCTGCTGGCCAGTCACTCGGACAGTTCCAAAATTATCCAGTCGCCAAATTCACAAAGACCACACACCTCCAAAATGCCTTCTCAAGCCCATCGGGTTCCGGCGCAGGTGCGAAGGCAGGTTATACTACTCAATCAGGCGGTGGTGACGCCTCGTTAGCACAGTACTACGCAGCCTGGCAACATGCGCAACAGACTGGTGATGACTCGGACTGGAAGAAGCATGAGGTCGCGAGAAGAATAGGCTGGAAAAATCAAG